AATTTTTTTTCCATATAGTTGTTCATAGTATTATCTTATGGTTTTTTATAATTCTGTGGTATTTGTTGTAATCCCTCCATTTTCCTTTCTTATTTTGTTTGTGTTCTCTTGTGATGAGCCTGGCCAGAGGTTTGTCAATTTCATTTACTCTTTGAAAAAATCAGCTCTTGGTTTGATTTATTTTTTTTAATTTTTTAATCTTTATTTTATTTATTATCTCCATCCTTCTGCTGATTTTAGGTTTTATTTGCTCTTCTTTTTCTAATTATTTTAGGTGATAGGTTAGATTGTTTTTTTTTTTTTTTTTTGAGATTGTTCTTTTTTGAGAAAGGCCTGTATTGCTATGGACTTTTCTCTTAGGACTGCTTTTGTTGCATCCCATAGAGTTGTGTGGTTGTGTTTTTGTTGTCATTTGTCTCCAAGTATTTTTTTAATTTCTTCTATTTCTTCATTGACCCATTGGTTTTTTAGTAGTATGTCATTTGATCTCCATGCTGTCATTTTTTTCCTCCTTTGTTTTTCTGTGGTTGATTTCTAATTTCATGACATTGTGGTCAGAAAAGATGCTTAAAATAATTTCTATCTTCTGAAATTTGTTGAGGCTTCTTTTGTGCCCGAGAACGTGATCTATCCTAGAGCATGTTCCATGTGAACTTGAAAAGAATGTATATTCTGTTTTGGGGGGATATAATGTCCTAAAAATATCAGCCAAGTCCAACTGTTCTATTGCGTCATTTAGTTTCTCAATTGCCTTATTGATTTTCTTTCTGGAAGATCTGTCCAGTGATATTAATGGAGTGTTAAAGACTCCTACTATGATTGTATTCCCATCAATGTCTCCTTTTATGTCTATTAGTATTTGCTTTATTTAGGTGCTCCTATACTGGGTGCATATATGTTAACAAGTGTAATATCCTCATCTTGTACTGCTCCTTTAATCGTTATATAGTGTCCTTCTTTACTTTTCTTTATGACCTTGTTTTAAAGTCTATTTTTTCTGAAATCAGTATTGGTACTCCTGCTTTGTTGTTGTTTCCATTTTTGTTCTGTGGTTGTCACAGCCCTTACAGGGGCTGGGTCTGTTCCCCTTTTGTTGGAATGGAGGCTTCCAAACTTACTTCTGAGCTGTAGTGCATAGTAGGCGGGGTTGGAGCACTTTAAGTACTCTTTGTTGACTCTGCCTTGTCCCCACTTTAGCTAAGGGAATGTCAGTGTACTGTTCTGGTGTGCCTAAAGGTTCTCTGTCCTCAGAGTTACCAGTGCAGTCCTGCCAACTTCTGGGTCGCACACCTGGATCATGGCACACTATTGGGTCAGTACCGTCCCCAGAACCAGATGATGCTCCTGCACTCACCCTGCTGTGCGAACTCGGCTCAGTCATTCCAGAGGCCTGCGGGTCATGCCACTGGGTCAGTGAGCCTTCCCAGCCCTTTGTCCACACACGGTAGGCGGTCTCGCTGAAGACGCAGCACCAGCCCTCGCCCCCGCTGTGTGCCAGAGCTCTTGTCCTTGCTCCTTTGTCTCAGAGGTGTGGATCCAAAAAGGCACCTGCAGAGCAACATGATCCCCTCTGCCTGGGGCGGTAAACAAATCTCAGTCACGCCATGTGAAGTTGCGGAGCCCTTGGGTAAGGATTCAGTTTTCAACCCGGGCTCTACCTGAAAGCTGCGCACCTGCGAAGATGGTGGCTGTGGCCAAGCCCCGCCTCTCCTCTTGGGAGAGCACGCAGGTGATGGTGCCACAGGTCAGTAGAGACAAAAGCTTAGGCCCAGCCACATTGCACCCCTCCCCTCAACGCACACCAGCAGTGTTGCTTGCTTGCTTTCTTTTTCTTTTTTTTTTTATTGGGAGACCCAGGCTATTCTGTTCTGTATACACTGAGCCACAGCGCCTGAGGTTGCCTCTGTGCAATGGGACCCAGTCCTCCACCCAGCTCGGGCAGCCTGTCCTGTCCCACCCCCACTGGCTTGTGCGTCTAGGCCTGGGGGTCACAGGGACCCTTTGTGCCCATTTTATTTAGTTCTGTCAGCCAAGAGCTACTCTGCACGGATCTGAGCCTCAGAGGCTCCTCCTCCGTCCTGCTGACCTCTCCATTGGAGAGGGGGAGACCCAGCCTACAAGTGCTAGTTCTCCTTTGCTGCTCCCTCCCCTCAGGACAGGTACTGCACTACTTCCCTTTTTCTTACTTTCTTTTTCCCTCCTACCAGTTTTGTGAGGAATGTTGTCTTTTGAAAAAGGCACTGTTCTGTCAAAGTTCAGCAGGTGTTCTGAGTGAATGGGTGGGTCCACGGACGTCTCTGTGTATTCGTGGGAGAGGGTGAGCTAGCTAAGAGTGCCCTTCTACTCTGCCATCTTAGCCGCTCCCTCCAATTTTAGATAGTCTGGGTTCTAAACACGTTTCCTTCCGTTAGCCTGTTAAAATGTATCATTGTTATGTCCCATTTATGCTATTTTCTGACAAAGGACTAGGAATTTGAGTGAATTCATCAAGTTTCTTTACTGAAGTTTTTCTGCCCTTCATTCAGAGTCTAATGACTTACTCTGTTATTTTCTATCTGAGAGTGGATTATTCACATTGCCAAGTCTAAAGCAGGCCTTGGCTGTCTCCTGTGTCTACTAGTTGTATCCGTCAGAACAGGCAAGGTTATGCTGCTAAAATATAAAATAGGTAAAGCCAAAAGCTCAGTGATTCCACACAATCTGTTCCACCATAAGCCCTTCGCGGGTTGGTAGGAGCGCTGCTCCTCTTCATTACCGTCCTCTCTGCTTCTGAACCTGATGGAACAGGCACTGCTGAAGAATTGTAGAGGGAAGGGAGTATGTGTTGAAGCAATAATTGGCTTTTAATGTTCCTTCTTGAAGTGACAGGCTCCTTTTTCAATGCCAAAGCCAGTCAAAGGCTAAACCTGCCTTCTGTGGGGCAGGGAGTTCCTCAGGGAGGGAAACCAGGGGTTGGTGAACTATAGTCAAAATCCAGCTGAGCTAGAAACTCAAGTCTCTATTGCTGTTTCTCCCTAGAGGACTAAGGGCCATCATGCAAATTATACTCCCAGTATCCTGCCCCGATACACCAGATACCAGAAGTACATCTTTTGGGCTATGTAAGTCAAGATATGGATGCGTTTCTTAGAAATGGTTTATTATCAATATACTATTTGAATATGAAAAATGGAAGGGACTCTATATAGGTAGAATATAAATATCATTTAACATTTTTGAGGATATTTAATAGGCTTTGGATGTTGATGACACCCTGCCATTCCTGAAATGCTTTCCCATTGGCCTTCTTTTCCTGTGTCTCTCCCATGAATGTATATAAATGTTTCTATCAAAATAAACTAAGGTGCTTGTTAAAAATGCAGATTACTGGGCTGTACCTCAAAATAACTATGAATGATGCTGGAACTCTATTTTTTTTTTAATCACATTTCCCACAGACAATTTATAACATTGACATTTGGAAAACATTGGCCTCGATGCCTTGGTTTTTGCCTTTTTCCCTTTTTTTCTTTTCTTTTTTTCTTTTTTGCATGAGGTTGAGATTTAACTTGTTTGGCTTTGCTAATGGGCATATGAGTGGATTTGTCGTTTGCTTCACAGTCTTACCTTGGGCGAGAAACACAATGGCCAGAGGTGAACATTACAAGTTTGTCAGTTTATAGGCCTCATGGTTGCAAAGGAGAAATATAGACTACAGAGGGAGCTTGAAAATAGGACTCTCAGAAAAGAGCATTAGCATTGTGGCTGTCCTGTGTTATGAGCATGACACTTTTGGGCTATAACTAAGAATCTGAGGGTACGTTTGCAAGCATAACACGTGAGCAACTTGGATTGTCACACTACTAACCTACTCGTATCAAGTTTATTATTGATTCCCATTGCCATCATCAAGTGTTCACGATTTACTTCAATTGCAGTTAACATGCGCAAGATGTGACAGTGGCGTGGATGCAATATCCTCACCACCGTGCCCCTCACCCAGTAATGACCATAAGGATTCGTCTGCATGTCCCTCCAAAAACTGTGATTAATACAAAAAAAAAAAACTTATAGGATAAAAGAAGACCATTCTTAAATCGAGGGTATGAAAATCACAGAACTTAGAAGATGAATACTAAAAACTTATGGTTCAGTTCTATTTGTGGGAAAGGATGAATACTAAAGACTTACGGTTCCATTCTATTTGTAGGAAAAGTGAAATTATTGGATGTGCCATAGCGACGTAATTTTTAAAGTTGTTTTATTGGCTCTGTCTGAGAACGTTAACTGAACTGAATTTCTAGTTTTCATTAAAAAGGGGTTTCGATTCACCGTCACTGGCAATGGGATGTGTCAGCAAGACCAAGGTAGTCAGATTGAGGAGATCTTTATGTTGCAACCAGTTTTAATTTGTGTACCATTCACTGCAGTGATGAGCAGAGGGATGGAGCAGGAATGTGTTCACCAGGAGTTTGGAGAGTTGAGTTTGTCGCAGTCACATTGTTCTCTAAATCTATGTCTTTTATGCATATGATGTTTAACAGAGGTATCAGGTGAACAAACCTTAGACAAAGATAATGAAGTTGCTTTTGATATAAAATGATTCCCTCCTAGCATGTAGTAATATACAGGAGTTCTCCCTTTGATAGTTTGCCTAATTCAGAGTTTGACCAGGGGACAGGAGCCCCAAAAGGAGTGTGATAGTTGTGGTGATGGTGGTGGGATGGTAGTTGTGTATAGTTGTGTATAGAAAACTGCTAATTTTCACATTTGTGTGGCTGTTCACACTGGATGACCTAATGTTATTCTTGTTGACTTCTTCAAGCCAATTTGTTAGATGAGTTTTATATTAGATTATAACAATTATTTTATGATGGATACTTGGGTTATAAATATTTTCTACATTCTTTCAGTGGCATTCAACAGTAGCATTACATGATATGTCAATTCTAGTATGATATATCAATGCTTCTTCCACTATCTATCCTTGGAATCTTGTCTGAAATCAAACATCAACTAAATTCAAAAGTAATTATTTTTTTTTATTTCAACTCTATAAAGTATACAACAGGCACTCGGCAATTACAGCTGCAGGAAAAATACAGAGCAAATCAAAGCAGGTTAAGTTTATGAAAAAGTTTTTAATCTACATCAAAAGAGTGCAAGTGGTCAATGACCATTTGATGACAGTTGTTGCATTCTGACTAACAAAGGACTCTCCCATGTAGAACAGATTGTAAGAGGACAATCAAATAACCATAGCTGTAAGAATACAAAAGAACTGACCAGTTGTAAAAACATCATACATTGAAATAAACTTGATGGATGATGCTTAAAGAAATGTCCCTTTACTCGGAAAGTCCAAACCTCTGAGTCACTGTTAAGGTCCCAGAGCTCTGTCTGTTGATGCAGGGGCAGATAAAGAGGAGGGCTAACAACACACTTTCAATGTTCATCTTTCTAAGTCTGTTGAAAACTTGCCTCACAAGTGATTTGCATATACAAGAACTCAGAGAAGCATCCTGTTTTGTTGAGTGGTGCACCAAGGTCCCTTTTTGTCATTGGTTTCATAACGAGGTGTGGTTAGCAGTCATTTCCCAATTTTTCTTTTCAGTTGGGCCGTTGTTAAATAGTCTAAAAAATGAGATATTTTAGAACTTGACTGCACTGATTTTTTTAAAACTGAACCTGCACAACTAAGCAAAACAGGAATACCTGTATACAGACTGATAGGATGTCATATATTAATTTGACCTGCACATACATTTATACATTTCACAGAAATGACGCTGTATCTCATGAACAGATACACAGCTCTGGTACATTTAACAGAAATAAGAGAACAACTTCATCATTTCTGTAATTCATCAATAGTATATAATAAAGGCTTATAAATTGTTAGCAGAAAGAACTGTAAAACGCAGCAAGCTAAGAAAGGACAACATTTTGAGGTGTGTTTGTCTTTGTCATGCAGCATAACACCAAATTTGTTTTTTAATAGGATGCCATGAATTTAAGGCACTTGCAACAATGCCAGATAGCCAGGTCATGTTCTAAACTATGGGACAGATGAGTAACAGTACAGTTGACATAATTTTCAATAATACTGACAATTATGACATTAATTCAAGTCTACTTGGACCTAAAAACATTATTCAGTACAAATTAAATGAAATAATAATGCTGTGAATCACTAAAAAAAAGAAGTTATATGTACCACAAAATATCACACAAAAATACCTATTTACATAAATATTTGTCTGTGGTCCTACTGTGTGAAAGAAAACATTGTTATGGGTAATGCACAGATCACTTCTACTGTATGAAATCAGTTCTAATATCCTTTTTTTTTTTCAGTATGGTAGCTGATTTTTTTAAGTTTACCATCAATTCAGTCATTTAGAAATCAAACAAGAAAAATCCAACAGTTGAATATTTATATTATACATGTGTGATACACATGCATATCCCATAATTTTAAGTAAAAATTTTTACTTGAATATAATCAAAATAAATCTTTAAAATGCCACATGGATCTGATTCCTATGTGAATAACAAAGAAGGTACAAACATAAAAATCATTCATAGCAAATTTCCAGAAATGATTTTCTCTAATACAATCAATCTAGCTCAAATATTGTGGTGTTCCTTTTCTTGGCAATTTTCAGTTTTCCTGTGAGTCAAGACACACAGAAAGCCCTTATTTCCCATACTTGAAGTATTGACAAGAAAGTCAGTTAACAAATCAAAACAAGTTGGCACTATTCTAACGTATCCGAAATAGAGGGGGGCATGAAAAAGTCAGAAATAAAGTGAGACGTGCTTTATGAAACTGACCATGAATTTTAGCCCTAGTGTCTTCAGTGAGACAAATGTAAATCCTTAAAAGTCTATGCTGAAAAGTAGATGAATGTTTTCCGTTAGCAATTCTTGAAAACTGTAGTTCACCTTTACTGTTTGGTGATTGCTTTAGACAGCCTAATACAGTGCCACAGGTGAAATGAACAAAGATGCAGTCACGAGTCGGAGAAACAACCTGCAGTCACGTTATACCGAAAGCTGCTTCATTCCTCTTCCATAGGACGTGTGCCTCTCGGTGGTTGTCTTAGCCTTGAACCATAGTTACACAATCCATTGTAAGTGCTAATCTCTGGGGCTACTGAGATACTTGAAAAGTTGCAGGGGAAGATGCTCTTACGTGAAATGACTAGGTCGTTTTAAACATTCTAGCCAACCTTTAGCATGCCTAAACCACGGTCTCTCTTTAAAAATAATGTTGGAATATCTTTTTTAAAGCCTTATATTAAACTTCTGAATAGCACTGCCACCTGGATTTTAGGTTGATAGTTTCATTTTATATTCTGTAGAAGAAAGTTGGTATCTTGGGGAGCAGTTTGATTTTGAGAAATTCTTTTGTAAGGGAGGGAAAAAACTCCAGTAATCCAAGAGTAACAATAATACCTTAGGATCAAAGTTTTCGTTTTACTTTATTCTGATTGTATATAATATGCTCTTAGTATTTTAATTTTCCAAATGTCCCGTACTGTATTATATTTTGATATCATATTCAAAAGTAGTCTTAGCATGAATATTCAAGCAAATGTCATAATAGATGCCTTCTTGGATGTGGTATAATGACCTAGGTGGACATGCGTTTTGTAGAAATGTCTACATTTGATTGACTTTTTAAAACACTTTCTATAGGGAAAAAAATCAAACCTCTATTTAATATACCAAATGCAAACACAGTTTCCAAATCAGGATGATAGCTCATAAAAGTATGCATTTGTCTAAGAAGGTATAACGCCGTTTGTCTAGGAAAAGCTTCCAAATAGCTCTGTGACTGAAGATAGCCGGTAACAGTAAAGTGGCCTGCCAACGAAGGACTCAATTTAAGTCACTGATTCTTTTCCCCATGCAAAAAGGCAAATCAGTTTAATCTTTTCAAACCTAGTCTTTCTTAGGTAGCGTGATTATTTCCGAATTACAGTATTTGTTTTATTTATTTAGCTCCAATTTACTTTTTAAGAAATGAGATTTCTGTTTCCCTCTCTACTCATTTCCTGCTTTCAGCTAATGGACTCCTTGCCCACTGACAAAAAGGCAGTAACAGCTGGCCAGGGTCTTGTCTTGTTCCCAGACCTCACATAAGTAAGGTTTCTCATCCGATTAATCTTTCCTTCTGTCTCTTTTTTGGTTCAGGCCTAAGACAAGAAGCTAGTTCAAATAGGTTTTTAATCACCTTTCTCCCTCAACCCTAGATGATGCTGTGTAAGTGAACTCTGACAGGAATTTGGTTTCATAAATTTAGTGAAAATGCTTGATTCTCTGGCTACACATGTAATGATTAGATTTTGTGTTGTCTGTTCAGACACTGACATTTACAGATGAAAGATATACATAGCACCTATATAGTTTTTTTTTTTTTGGATGGATCTTAATCCCTCTCCACCCCACCCCAACCCCACCCCAAGGGTTTATTTTTATAAAAGAATATTTTAAGCCTCAGTTTGAGGGTGTGTTAGATAATAAATAAAAACCAATTGGCTGCTAGTCATTTATTTCCAGGACCATCTCTAAGCATACTATTTTTAAAACTATGAAAGGGTTTGTGAATTGCTTTTTTTCCACTCTGTCATGCCAATTTATCAAAAAGAAACAGATATCATGCATGTTGATTTTTTTCCAATCCTCTGTGAAAACGCATATCTACCTGCTATGAGAGTTCTCAGCAGAGTCCATAGCAGTTGTGCTTTTATCACATCAATTTTTAAAATCTGTCAGAAGGAAATGTAACATTCAGTCTCGTCATCAGCACTGCTGGGAAATAAAATCATGAAACTTCTAGCACTGGTTTGACATGAACTGTGACCAACAGAGGTGTGGTCCTCTTGTGTGTGGTATATACACCGGCTTGCAGTAAATAGTTCCCACAACCCTCAACCTGAAGAAAGGGAAGAGCCCAGTTTCTGTACCATAGTAACCTATCGTACCCAATATATTATTTTTTGATCTTCTGGATAACTCTAGCAAGGTACAGACTTTTATCTTTTACTAAATTGAAGTGTTTCTTACAGTCTTTCAAATTATAATCAGAGCAAAGCAAGGTCATTGCAACAATAGAAAACATCTCTTTACTGGTGAAAGGCTTGGCTTCAGGACCACCATGTCAACTGCTATTTTTAGGTTCAAACAGAAAACGTGTGAAGAGCACTACTGTCATCTAAGCAATGAGTCCTAATGCCACTGTAGTTACTGGAGCAGCATCGATCAAAGGCATCATGGTGACCCCGAGCACTAATCTTCTCTCTTTCCTTCAGGTTTGCTGGCAGCTGTCTCAGAAAAAGCTGTCTTCAGCAAGGCAGAAGCAGGTAAGAGAAATACATTAGAAGTCTATGTCCCATCCTGAGTTGTCATCAGGTGGTGGTTCGTCATTGTCCTCAGGGAAGCTGTCAAAATTGCTTGTGTCTGTGGGTGATGCAACCTGCGAATGAGAGAACGGACAGTAAAAGTTTTCTGGCTTTTTTAGTAGAATTTCAAGGTAGGTTTTTTAAAACGGTTATTTATTCCCTATTCAATGGTTATTTTTGGAATGTCTACTATGCAGCAGGTTTTGTCCTTTGGGGGTAAGTAACAGTGGGGAATGAAAATAGACATGGTTCATCCCTCATGGAATTTTAGTCTAGGAAAGAATAAATTGTGTCATTAAAACAAATAATCATAAACATCTGTAGATAATTATAAACTTTGTTTAGTGCCACAAAGGAAAAATACAAGATGTCATGAGAGTAAGAGAGTAGTCATAGAAAGCCTCTTTTAAAAAGTACTGTATTAGACCTAAGAAAGAGGTCAGCTTGGCTGCTGTCTAAGAGAGGAGGGGAGTGGAATGAGAATAATTACATAAAATCCTCAAGATGACCTCTGCCTATTATTCCTATTTCTAAGTATAATAAAAAGCCATCTCTAAACTTAAGCAAAACTTGCACTGGGCAAGTCCAGTCTGCAGAGCATCAGTAGAAACAGTGAAGAAACATACTTTAGTTTCCCTTATAATAATAGAATAGGAAGTTTTAAATATTATAGAATATATCACATACATATCCCATTTTATATTACTCTTGCATAAAACGAGACCCCTGGTAAATAAGATAATTTAGGCTTAATATTCATCTCTTCAACTTTCTTACTTTGCTCTTGTTCTAAAAACAAAGCTTCATGAATACAATTAGCACCTGGAATTTACTTTGTGAATAAGCATAAATATTGGCAGAAATAAATCTAAGAAGTGGGTATAAGAAGTTTGTCCCAGAAAATGGAAATATATAAATGAAAGACTTATAGGACTGCAAAGCCCTCTCCTCCTTAATTAAGGCACATTTTATTAGATAAATGCAGTCAATTGAAATCTATTTAATATAGTGTAAACATTTAGTCCAGTCCGTGGACTAGCAGTTTAAGAAAACACCTGATGTGTTAAGAAAAGAGAGTTAAGAGAATCTTTTAAAGAACACTGTTGAGCTTAGGAGTGCTTCAGCGTATTATGGGGGTAAGGGAGGAGGAGCTATGTGGGAGCATCAGGGAAACAATATTGGCCAGGAATTGATGGTTATTGAGATTGGCTGCTGTATTGTTGACCAAACCCTAAGAGAAACTAGAGGGCAGGGAATGATTTGATGTGTCTATTTGGGTTGGACTCTTAGGGACAGAGCATGGCAGAGAGTAAATTGGAATCACAAATGGAAGGTAACAAGAGCAGATTATCCTAACTCACCCAACCACACTCATGTACACACTAACTTGTTAAGAACTTACTGTATCTTATATAGAGGGAACATATAATGTGCGGAAATTTAAAATAGTGTACATATTTTTGGTAATAATTCATGACTATAAGTAAATAGAGTTGTTAATATATTCTTATTGTTGGGCTGAGACATATGAAGTTTTTATATTATGGGGAGAAAGATTCATTATAGTTTTCTGTCAATAGTTGTACATAGTTAACACTGTTTTTAAGCATGGATTTTAGATGTCATTATTTTAATCTGGTATATCCTATAGTTTCTTTAATTTGAATTGGATAAAATCTTTTGAAATAGCAGATCTCTGACAAACACCTTCATGTGTGTCACACAATTACAAGTTGGAAAGTCTACTTACACTTGGTATTATAGGAGGTGTCAAGGTGCCTTTTCTTAAGCCTTCCCAGTTAAAGCCCTCAAACCATCTAAGGAAGGAAAAAAAGTAGATTGTTAAAGGCATTGTACCTCAGCTGAAGCTTTCTCATCACAACATATGATGCCCATGACGGATGGGAAACAGGAAAACATTTTCAATGAGACAAAAATGTTTTCTATTTAATGGGAGGTTTTAAAAATTACTTATGTGGAATGTGTATTTTAAAAAATCTAGTAGTCAAATTTTTAAATGCCAATTAGAAAGCAACTCCTTTTTATTCTAGTAATGTTAGTCATAATGTCTGTGTGACCTTGTCCCTACAGAATCATTGTAACTTAATAAATGCCATAATATGTGTGGCCCGGTGCCCTACAGGATGTTTTATTTTAAGAAGGCAGAATCAGGACAGAAAATTATCCTTCCATCTTTGCCACTGATTCAGTGGACAGCCCCTCATATCGTTGTCTTGGTCTCTACATATCCTATTTTCCTTTTTTGCTAGAATGAAGGTAATTTGTGTATGGCCTTTCTGTGAAAATAAGGACCAACCATCACAAAGGGATTTTTAAAATTTGTTTTTAAAAGTTTTCACCATTCTCAAGTGCTTACACCAAATTCCTGGCAGGCCTTTTAGGTATTTATAGGTATTTTGGTAAATACATTCCTCTGCTGGGGATGTGAATTTCCTGGGAGTGTTACAGTAACAGACTAACAAGGTAATACCAATTAGGTCTTAGTTTAGCTTTAGAACATCCAGTCAATATGGGTAAATTCTGCTACTGTTAAAAAAAGAGAGACTATACTTTTCCCCCCATCATAGCCTCTAATTAGAAAATGGTTGGAAAAAATACATCTTAGTTTTAGCCTAGGAAATGAAGCATGATATGGTGGAAGGCTTTCATTTTTAATATTCTAGTAGAGAATAGAATCTTTTAGAATTAGGAATATATATTTCCTCTTCATGCTAGAGAGGAAAAATACCAGTTAATATGAATTGGGAGACACTGAATTTGGTGAATCTGTTGTTTAGAATGTCACAGGGTCAGATGGATCTAAATAAAGTCCCAGAGACAACTAGAAAGGTCTTAAATAACAAGGCTAACTATTCCACATGTCTCCTTGGATGTTCCCACAGACTAATTGCATCAGTTAGACAACCACTAACTTAAAAACATCAGCCTGGGAAAATTGTGCTTGTCTGAGAATGCTTTCTGAACTCTCAAACCTAAAGGTATAAGGAAAGGACACTTACTTGTGCTTTTGAATGTCTTTCACTCCATTTTTCAAATTCCCTAATCTTTCTGACGGATTATCCCTAAAAATAACATAACAGTTATTAAGGAATTGAATTGTTTTCTACTTCCAAATCTAATGTAGTTGAAATGCTTACCTGCAGAGTTTTTTAATTAAATTAGCAGCATTTTTGGCAATCTTCTTTGGAAATTCTATCATGTCAATCCCCCTCAATATGATGTTATAGGTTTTCATAGGATCTGGGCCTGAGAAAGGTGGGCTGCAAGAGTGAGAGACATGAAAAGAGACAGTGCTTTTATTTTTGAAATCAGAAAACATACACTGTTATAACTCCACAAATGACATTAATTCTGATTTAGGGACATATATTAATAGTGATAATTAAGTGACACTTGATTAATAGTAAAATGGTGGGGGAACTTTTCCAAGCAAATCTCTTAGACCAGTAGTGGGTTAAGTCTGTCCCTTGTTCCCCTCACTTCTCTTTAGTGCAGGCGTCCAACCCCCTCCTGTTATCCTTACTCATTCAGGAAGCCTCTTCCACGTTTGGCCCTTTCTCATTCTCATCAACTCACTGATTACACTTGGGATGAAGTCCAACGTCAGTGGTACAACTCCATCTCATTTCCTCACTGGGACCTGGGCACACCAGTCTTCTCTCTGCTCCTCTGAAGTACCAGGCACTCTGCCTAATGCCTCACTTAGCAAGTCTTAGCTTAAGTGTTATGTTGCTTCCTCAAAAAGGCCTATTCTGATCAACCTAATGTAACTGATCACATAACCATCATCAACCAACATAATGTAATCTAACAGTTGAACTTCAACACAGCGTTGGCTTCATCCTAAGGATGTTTCCCTGCATGGCTGTGAGATGGTTCCCAGTGGAAACAGGGATTTATATACATTCAGTAATTATTTGAGGGCCTACTAAAGGTACTGACAATTTTCCTCCACAGATTTATATTGAAATTCTTCAAGTTGGCTCAGGCCAGTTTAGATTGTGTGTCCAATCTAATCCAAGCCAATCACCAGGGGAATGCCCTGTGACTGGAATACATGAGCTGAAGCTGGAGATGAGTTCATCTTTTCCTGAGTTATGTGGGGGCTCATGGATGCATGAACAAAACCAGCATGTGTGCAGAAGAGGGCTGAGGTTGTGAGAGGGGTGGGGAATGGGTCCTGTGGGCCCTTTCTGATTATTACTCATCCTTCAGTGGGACTAGCCACCCTGAAGAACAGAATAAAGAAGGCTAGAAGGAGGGGAGCAAGTGGGAAATTTAGCATCCTTCGCTAGAATTTATTGCTTTAGGAAACCTCTCACCAGATCATTTATTTCCCTTCAAGTTTTGGGATTCAGGAGGTCATATGGCTCATAGCAAAGTGCTACCATGTTCTCTAGTCTTTCTTATTTCTTGCAATGGGTACTAAGCTTATTTATGTTATTTATATAATTGATAAATGTAGCATTAATTTCAAGTATACAGTATGATTCAATATTTGTATATATTGCAAAATGATCAGCACAGTAAGTCTAGCTAACATCTGTCACTGTAAATGGTTATAATACTTTTTTCCTTGTGAGTATTTTTAAGATCTACTCTTAGCAATTTTAATATCTGCAATACAATGTTATTAACTATAGTCCCCATCCTGTACATTGTATCCCCACTTAAGTTTGAATGTGTTAAGCTCTACATGTTTTTCCCCTACATGTTTCCTTTTTGACATCACATTTAACATCTTTTTACCCTGTGTTTATCCTTAGCTAATGTATACTTATTTCCAGTACTTCTGTCTTTTAACCTTCATATTATAAGTGATTAAACCAGTACCTCTACTATATATATTCATCCTTTAGCTATCTTCACCTTTCTTTCTTCATTCTTTTCCCTTTTTGCTGCTCTAATTGGGTGAGTTCAACTGCCCTGTCTTTAA